GGGGGAGGGCTGGGAAGGGGGGCCGTGAGGAGGGGGGAAGTGGGGGGGTGGGCTGGGAAGGGGGGCCGTGAGGAGGGGGGAAGTGGGGGTGGGAGGGCTGGGAAGGGGGGCCGTGAGGAAGGAGAACGGGGGGAGGGGGAAGTGGGGACAGACTCTGGGGGACATGCCCGGAGCCCTGCAGCGTTGGCGGCCCAGAGCCGGAGGCTCGGTTTGGGGGAGCCGTTCTCCAGGTCCAGGCAACCCGGGGGGTTGGGGAGCTCCCCGGCAGGGGCAGAGCCAGGGGCCCGGCCTGGGGTGGTTCCTGCCCGGGGAGGGGGGCTGGGAAAGCCCCCAGTCGGCCAGGCATGATGTGGGGCGTGGGCCGGGGCAGGGGCTATGAGAGGCTCTTGGTCCGTTGCATGGACCAGCGGCTCTGGACCTTTCCAGGCTCCTGCCCCACTGGCAGGACTCGGATTGGTCTGCCCTCCCCCCAGGTTTCACCTCACAGCCAGGCCAGGACTGAGCAGCGCCTTCCCTTCTCGTTTCTATCGTGTTGGTATCAAATAAACCAACTATCGCACGTGCATGTCAGTGCACAGAGCCGTGGACACAAGTCGTGGTGTGAAGTCTGAGTTTGTCCTGTCGTTGCTAGTGCTTTTTCTGTAGCCTGTTGTAAAACCATGCAAATATCCAGATGAGCTGATGGGCCCCTGCAAGACCTCTCAGTACCCCCGGGGTGCACCTACCCCTGGCTGAGAGCCACTGGCATCTCTAACTCCTAAATAACGGGCCATAAGGCGTGCGGTCGGGGTGGGGGTCACTGGTCCGGATCCAGCCAGCTCAGTCTTCAATCAAGCAGCCCTGACCGGCTGGCTGGGGTTCTCAGAAGAAGCCAATAAACTAGCAGATAAGAGGGGTCCATTGGGTGCTTAGTGGGGATTTCACAACACTTTTGATAAGGCGTCTCCATAAAAAGCTCTTCGGGGAAATGAATAACCCCTGGTAGGAGGGGAAGCGTTGTGGTGTGTTGGCCGCTGGCTGGGTGGGGCGAAGCAGGGAGCTGTGGTGAGCAGCAGCTGGCCTGTTTGGATAGAGGTTAATAGTGGGTGACTTGTTTGGGTGTTGGGCCCTGGGCTGTAGAGATTTAGAGGAGGGAGTGACTGCAGGTTGATGAAATTCACCAAGGACCCTAAGGTGTGTGAGAGGCTCAGCTCCAGGTGGGAGTGAGCGTGGCCATGGGTAAGGCGACTTGTGCTGGTGGAGATGGTGTCTCACGCTGCTGGGCTCTGCATTTCCAGGACTTGCCGAGAGGGAGCTCAGGAGGTGTTGGGGACCTTGAGTGGTGCTGGAGTCTCATCTCATGGGCTGTCTGGCTGCCTCCCAACCGTGAGAGAGAATCTCCTGAGGCTGCAAAGCTGCAGAGAAGGGCACTGCGGATGGCCAAAGGTACGATGGGGTAATTTAGCTCTAGGATGAACGAGAACTGGTCCGCCCAGCCGCCGCCTTTCTCCCATCATCTGAGCCCCTGGAGTTACACAGGGACACTAGTGGCAGGTCCATTTAGCTCAGGTTAAAGGAGCAGACCTTTATCTGCAGTGCTGGGGCTGGATCTGAAACTACTGCTCTTGGTAGCTGTCCTGTTAAACTGGGAGCGGGTGGATCTCTGCCCGCTCAGAAACGCCCATTGCACAACTTCCCGCAGGCCCCGTTGCACAATTGGCCTGGCGCACGCGGCCTGCGGGGAAGGAGCAGTGCAAGCTTTGTCGAGGTGCTCGATGCTCTTATCCCAGCACCTGGCGCTCAGCGCTAGAGCTCAGCATGTTCCGTGCCCTGAAGAGCTTTTGGCCGTGTACAAGAGCAGGGAGGTTTGCAGAACCTGAATTCCTGAGCCGGGCTGGGCTGGGTTGATTTCCGGGGCAGCTCTGCATTTTTGACTTACCCGCTCCTCCCTTGTAATAGGAACAGACAGTTGTTCCCACCCCCGTTCTGTAGAAGTGCACTTGAGCAGAAGGCTCTTTTTAATCGCCGGATTCCAGAGGGATCCGCCATCCTGACTTCTGACATGCCCGCTCTGTGCTGGCTGCCACAGGGCAACTGCCAGGAGCCCTCCCAAGGGTGCAAACGGGACTCTTGCTCCAGTAACGCTGCAGTGACTTGCCTTGTCCTATGGCCCCCTGAGATTAACGCCCTGGAGGGTTAGAGCAGTGGTCCCCAACTTTTTCCGTGGGGCGGGCGCCAGACGACTAGCCGCCGAGGACTGTGGCTGCGGGACAAACAGCCGCTGAAATGCCGCCGTGAAGCAGCGTCATCAAGAGGCGGCATTTTGGCGGTAGCGCTTCTCGGCAGCATTTTGGCGGCTGCTTTTCCGGCAGCCAGTAGGCGGGCACACAGGGATGCCCCGGCAGGCGCCATGGCGGGGACCCCTGGGTTAGAGGAAGCAGCATCAGGCCGGCCGTGAGGATGAGGTGCCTGTTGGACATTCCAGGTTGCAATCTGGAGCAGGGAGGGGCTGCGTCACCACTTGCCCTGCAACCTGGGGGGCCTCCCAATGCTTTGCTGCTGTCGCTCCCAACCTGGGCTCCTCACAAACAGCCTGCCAGCCCGCAGGTCACCCCCCGAGTGTGTGTGTAGCTGCAGCTCTGACCCCAGCAGCCTGTCAGCAAACGCCAGCCACACACTGCCTTCCAGGAGCTTCAGGGTGATCCCAGCACACTCCCAGTCCTGGATTTCCCCCTCCTCCCCCCCCTCCCCCCCGCGCGCACACAAAGGTTGTTCTGCACTGTCCAGCCCCCTCCTCAGCATACAACAGTCGCTCCCGTAAATGAAGTTACCCAACCAATTCACAGCGCTGGATTCATTTTAATTAAAGAATGAAACAAGTTTGTTTATTTACAAAGAGGGAGATTTTGAGGGACTACAAGCATAAGGCATTGAAGTCGGACATTCTTACAAGAGAGAGATGAAGATGAAACGCTTTCTGAGCTTACAAACTAGACTTGGGTCCCGCTGAAGTCCCATACTGCAGGTTTTCAGTATATTGCTGACCAAACCTGTAGGCCAGGATCTGCTTCCGAAGTCCACAGACTGTTTCTTTTGTCGTCGATTGTCTTTGGTGGAAAAGAGAGAGGGAGAGAGAACTGGGTGTGGTTTTGCCCCTCACTTTTACAGTTCAATCATCCTTTGAAATGCATTTTCCTGAGAGTTGCCCCTAGTTAAAGTTCATTCACCCCATAAAGAAGGCCATGTGGTGTCTGATGGTGAAAGAGGATGCACTCTGGTTCTTCTCACCTTTGTTTGCTTAAATGCAGATTTTCCTTGTCTCCTGTTTTCCCCCCTCTTGCTGTCCGAGGATCCTGTTATAAATTGAGATGAACACACATCCTGTTGTTTAGGACCTGCCCAGGCGGGGGCGACATGGGTTTGAACATGTGCCACCAATGTCATTGTGAAGGGATTTGTAACTTTACATGTAATGTTGCTACCCACATTCTGCCAGGATGTTATTGACCAGCGAGTTATTATTTTTCAGATGCTACCTGACCAGGCCTATTTTGCCCACAGCCGATTACGGGGTTTGTAGGGTGTGAATACAGGGTGCGTTCCGTCCCAGCCTGATGCTGAGATGATGAGACTATGGAGCAGGGTGAAGACAGGCGAGGGTCAGTGGGGAGGCGGGTCTAGAGAGCTAGATCTGGGACTGGGTGGTGGCAGGGAGGTGATTGGGGCACGGGTAAGGTCACTACGAGGGTGTGGGGCATCCAGTGGGCTGTACTGTTATGTAGGAATCCAGGCCAAGCTCCAGTGGCTCTGTCCCGCTGGGCACCTGCTGCGCTGTGTCCCCTGCGTATTGATGCCCTCGCGTTCTGCCCATTGGGCAATGGATGGGTTCTGCAGTGGTCCCAGCTCGGGGAGCTAATGCTGTAGTTGTAACACACCAGGTGATGTGGCTGGAGGCTGCAGAGACCCTGTCCCCAGGGGCTTGGGAAGAACAAGGCTCAGCAGGTTTCCTCTTGCTCCCGTGTCCCAGTCCCAGTCACCAGATCTCTCAGCCTTAGCTCCTAGTCTTAAGCTGATCACACGCCCATAGATACACCTCTGGTCCGCTCTGCCTTGCTGGGGAGCCTCCCTACACACAGCTTATCTCCGCCTCTGCTCAGGTCTCTCATTGCCCAGAGCTCTGGCATCCTCTCATTCTCCACGTCCCCCCCTGTCCATTTCCGCCCCTGGGGGGCTGCTGGTGTCACTTCCCAGCACCTCCATCTCCTCTCACCTCAACTGCAACGGCTTGTCACCCCTCTTCAGGGCCCTGTAACTGCTAGCATGGGCAGAACGCCGCTCAGCGCCTCCCGGAGCCAGTCTCTCTGCCAGGCCTATGCTGGGTGTCCTCTCCTATTAGCCAGTGAGGGCTGGACAGGGAACCCATTGGCATCATTCCTGGGTCAGCCGGAGGAGTCACTGCAGAGCAGTCTGAGGTTTCTCCCCCCCACCCGCCCGCCCAGGGGGCTCTAGCCCCCCGCTGGGCCATGGGGGATGGGCCAGGCCACTCTGTGTGTTGTTGTTTGTATGGGGGGGATCTGCGTAGAGCCCGGACTCACCCTGGCCTTCCAGTGGGTCTAATCACTCAGCGTCTGGCTGTGATTTAGCACGTGTGGGGTGGTCAGTCCGTGTGCTACTGGGGGACATGGGCTCTGCCCCACAGCAGGTCTGGTCAGAACTGACACAGGGCACAGAAAGGTGCAGGGAGCGGGTCCCACAGCTGCTCTTGAGCCTGAGTCGAAAGTCTGAATAGAGGGTCTGAAGACAGCGCCCCCACTCCTGAGGGCCTTGCCCAGCTGTCAGCACCCCTGGGTCCTGCCTGCAGCTCTGCCCTGGGCTCTGACAGCGCGAATAGGAGTTGACCATTGGCTTGTTGCGTTCAGCTCACTGGCTTATAACCGTGCTGAGACGTTGAATGGGAGCATTCGGACGTGCTCGCTCCGTGCATCGTCCCACCGCACCGCCCCTGCTCGAGCCCCGGCCGCTGGAGCTCGGCGCTGGACCCTGCTAGGACAGTTCCACCCAGCATACCAGGCTGCCGGCTCGCTGGTAACAGATGTTGTCTCTTTCAGCGATGGCTGGCTGTGGGGATCCCTGCTCCAGCAGCTCTGGACTCCTCATTGCCCTTCGCCTGGCATAGCTCGGGCTGTTGGGAGCGATTCGGTTTTGGATCCACCGGCCTATGAGGTAACCCCAGGTACAAACCCCCTGTTCTCCCCACCCCTCCGCTTCCCAGCTGCCCAGCGAGAGGGGACACAGGTGGGGCGGAGACGGCCCCTGCTGCCTTATAGGAATTAATTGAGTCTTCCCCTTAGTCACAGACAGACCCTGACTCACTGGTTGTGCCCTGTTCCTAGTGGCCAAATGCTCAGACCAGCGATTGCCGCCGTGAGCAGCTCTTTGCTGTCAGGCCCCTGCAGACAAGGGACTGGCTGGGCCATGGAGACTGACAGACTGAACCTCTGGGACAGGCGTGAGGCAGGCTGGACGGATGGGGCTGTGTGAAGGAAGCCGGCCCGGCTCTGTGCATGCACCTCAGTACCTGTCCGTCACTGGGAGGGGCCTCTGCTGCTTCCTATGCCAGGTTCTCCTTCCCGCCCCATTCTCCCTGGCTCTGTGCCCTCTCCACTGCAGCACGCCTACCCCGGGAACCAGGGCCCCGCCTGCAGTCCCTTCAGAGCTGGCGCTGTTCACCAGTGCATTAGCTGAACTGGACCTTGCTCTCTTCTCTTGCCAGGGCTGAGAGGATGGCTGCCTCCGTGATGGGCCAGGCCATGGTCACCCACGTGCTGGTGGCCCTTTTCGGGATGGGCTCCTGGGTCTCCGTGAACTCCTTGTGGGTGGAGCTCCCCGTGGTGGTGAAGTGGCTTCCAGAAGGTGAGGCGCTGATGGGTGGTGATAAAGCGCAGCCTGTGGGCCCGGGATGGGTGATGCCCCTGGCTTCGCCTGGCACGTAGGAGCAGCCGCAGTGGGGGGTCAGGTGTCTTGCCTTCTGCTGTGTCGTTCATCTTCCTTTCTAGCTGCCCCAGCGCCAGCGGAGAGGAGGGAAGTGTTGAATGGGGAATTGCTGTTGTTACCCGGTCACATTCCGGTGATCGTGAACGGGGGTGGGTGGGGCTCAGACAATCCCCGTCCTGGGGAAACAGCTGCGAAGCTGCTAGTCCGGGGCTCGGCGACTAGGGGTTCTGGGGCGTGGGGGGTTCTCACGTAGCCCCCCCCAGCGGTGTAAGGCCTCCGAATGCTGCGTTAGCCTGCGTGGCGCCCACCGCCCAGGTCACGAAGGCACAGAATGGGATCCAAAGCTGGGCACGCGCCCGCAGGTCGTGACTAACCCAGCTGCTGGCCTGCCCCCCCGCCCGAGCATGGCCCCAGAAGAGCAGCTGGCACCCTGCTGGTTCTGGCTGCCGGCGGTGTCCTGGGCTCAGAGGGGGCCGGTGTCCGGAGCTGGCTGCGCAGAGATGTGCTGCCCTGCGAGCGTGCGGAACGTGTTGTGCTAGCTGAGCACGAGGATGCACCAGCTCCAGCCCAGAGCCCCAGGCAACAAACAGCACAGTCCAGCCGACGGGCAGAGAACAAAGGCAGGAAGGGCCGAGCTCCTCCGGCTTCCAGGGCCCAGGGCGAAGGAAGAGTTCGTTGGTGGAGCGGGAGGCAGCAGGGACACGCTGGTGTGAACACGGGCAGCAGCCCTCTGGGCTCTGGATTGCTAGCCGGTGCCCTGAGTGCAGGGTTGCCGTAGGAGCCGGGAACGCAGGCCCCAAGGGAGCTTGGTTCTGCTCCCAGGCGGCTGTGCCGGGGGGCTCGGCCGGCCTAGTGAAGAAACGCTGTGGAGTCCCTGGGGGTCCAGCAGAACTGCTCCCCGAGGGGAGCCCTGCCTGGGGGATGGTTGGGGTATCCCGGTCTCCGTGCTGGGAGCCAGCAGGTGCTGCCTGGCCTTGGCCTTCTGCCCGCACTTCCCAGAGGAGAGCAGCTCTTAGCCCGGGCTGTGCGCTGGGGAAGGCCATCGGGGCGGGCTGACTGGGGGTTTCCGGAGTGCTGGGGCTGGCTCGTTAGCGGGATAAAGAGCCGTAGGCAGGGCCGGGAGGCTCCGACCCGGTAAGTTAGTGTTCGGGCTGTTCCAGTTCCGCCCCCCAAACGGGTGAGGCTCTGTTCATGCTCGGGGAGGGGGGGGTGCTGGGTAGCCCATAGCGCTGCAGTGATCTGCACCGGCCCCACGCACGGCCCTGCCACAGCCACGCCATGAGCGCAGGGAGGCGGCTCTTCGCCCTTTGCTCGATCCGACAGCAGGATCCGATCCCCCGGGCAGAGAGGGGCCCACTCGCCTCTTCCGTAGCCGGGTTGGCTAGGAGGAGCCGGCCTCGGGGGTTCCAAGCGCTCCCATGGGGCGGGCCACACCTTGGTGACTGGCAGAGACAGTGGAGGAGGGGCAGGGGGATTTCCAGGCTCCTTTTGTTCCTGGTTTAACTCCCCTCCTGTCTGCCCTTCTCTGCCACTTTGCACACACATGCCAGCCACCTGCCCCCCCCCATCATGCCCACATTTGGTCCCCCGCACACACGCTACCCAGCCTCCTGGGGGCCCTCTTCTCCCCTTCCCCTGCTTCCCGCGGCGCCTCCACCCCCTGGGGGCAGCTGCTTCTCCTCCTCTGTGGAGGTCCCCCGCTGCTCCGGCATGCTCCCTCCCTGTCACGCAGAGCCTGCATTGCTGGCAGCCAGCCCTCTGCAGGCCATGGCAAGGGAGCCCTGGGGCTGGAGGGGCCCTAGCTGCAGGAGGCTGTCAGGCCAGCCCCACGCTCTGCACAGGCAGGGTCCTGTGGAGGGGGCAGGCTGGTGTGCTTCCCCTGGGGGGTTATTGAGGGTGCTGGAGATCTCGCCGTTGTGCCAGGGCTGCCCACCTGAAGCCTGCCTCTGCACCTGCTGCGGGCACGTGGTGTTCCCGGCTAAGCACTGCCAGGGGCTGGAGTTGTTACCCGGCCGTGCCAAGGGAGGGCAGGTCCTGTTCCCGGCACTGTGTGCCTGAGCCTCCCCGCCTCTCAGCTGGATTCCCTCGGTGGAATTCCCCTGCAGCCTTCCCACGCATGCCCTCGCCTGGCCCCTGCCACCAGGGCTGGCTGGGGCTCGGCTGAGAATAGCTGGGTTCTCGGGCGGTCTCCACGCAGGCCCAGCGCTGGGGGGAGGGGGCCGTGGGTCGGGATTGAGGGGCAGCAGCAGAGCTGTGCGAGTTGCTTTGCCAGCAGCGTTTCGTTAGCTGCAGAAGGGCCAGCGTTGGCCCAGCCCCCGGTCGCTATCTGCGGGGAGATCAGCCCCTGGGCTCCTTTCTCCTAGGTAGGGCTGCGCTGTGCGAATCCCACAGAAGGCCGCAGCAGCCCCATGGGAGCGCTGCCTTATCTCCCCCAGCCAGAGCCGGGACGACGCGAAACCCAGGCACTGGCCCCTTCGGGATGCTGTCCTGAAGTCTGTTTGCAGCCTCTGCTTCCCTCTCTGGCCGCGGGAGGAAAGGGGGACGGGGGGCGAGGGAGCTCTGCTGGCCTGCAATAGAAGGGGGCAGAAATACAGGTGGCACCGCTCGGGACTGGGCCCTGGGTGCCTGGCTCACCGAGGATCCGGCTCCCCTGCACGGCAGCAGGGCGAAGGGCTCGGGGCAGCGGGGTGTCACTAGCGCTGCGTCTCTCCCCCTCCAGGCTGGAATCTCCCTGCCTACCTCTCAGTCCTCATCGCCCTGGGGAACGTGGGCCCCATCGCCGTCACCCTGGCTCACAGGCTGGCCCCTGGGCGGCTGAAGGAGCGCTGGGTCATCCACGCCATCCAGGTGCTGGGCGTGGTGGCAGCCCTCTTCCTGGCTCTCTTCTGGCACCGGACGGCGACAGTGGCAGGGGAGTCCCACAGCCTGGCCTTCCTGCTCCTGGCCTTCCTCCTGGCCTTCGTCTGCTGCACCTCCAACGTCACCTTCCTGCCCTTCATGTACCAGTTCCCCCAGCAGTTCATCCGCACCTTCTTCGTGGGCCAGGGCCTGAGCGCCCTCTTCCCCTGCGTGGTGGCGCTGGCCCAAGGGGTGGGCAAGCTGGAGTGCCGCAACACCACCTCCGGCAACGGCTCCCAGCCCCACTACCTGGAGGAGAACTTTCCTGCGACCACCTACTTCTGGCTGATGTCCGCCTTGCTCGCTGTCTCGGCGCTCTCCTTCCTGGGGCTCATCCTGCAGCGCCGCCGCGCCAGCCGCTCCGCCACCCGCCAGGAGAGCTCTTCCAAGGGCAGCGTGGAGACGGAGGAGTCCTTCCCACTGCAGGACGGCACCCCCACGTCGGACAGCGCCATGGAGATCACCCAGGGCGCCCGCCCCCCGGCCCAGGCCACCTTCTGGACAGGCCGGAACATCTACCTGCTGGTGCTGCTGGGCGTCTCCAACGCACTGACCAATGGCGTGCTGCCCGCGGTGCAGAGCTACTCCTGCCTGCCCTACGGGAGCATGGCCTACCACCTCTCTGTGGTGCTCAGCAACATCGCCAACCCCGTGGCCTGCTTCGTCGCCATGTTTGTGCTGTGCAGGTAGGGCCGGGCGCATGGCCCAGCCTCCTCCCTTACACCCTCTTCACCCTTGGCCCAGACCCCCTGCCTGAGAGGGGCCGTGTGCGGGGCAGGATTGAGGGGCGTTGGCGCAGCGGAGGGGCTCTGGAATGGGCCAGCAAGGAGAGCCGCGGGTCACAGCGGCATGGAGGCCCTGTGGTCAGAGTTGGGTCCCCGGCACGTACCTGAGTCATTCCCAGTGGTGTCCCTAGTGAGCAGCTGAGCCGGGTCCAGGGCTTTGCACGTTAAACGTTTGTAAAACAGAGACCACGTCCCCACCTCCCGCTCCGAGCCTGCCAGGTGCCTCTGGGCTTGCCAGGCTCCCCCCGCCATCCAGCCGCCAGATGGGGAGGGGGCGAGCTCAGACTGATCGGGCAGGGGCCCGTGGGAGTCGGGGGATATTCATGGAAAGCGGGGGCTGAGAGGAAAGCTGGCCCAGCGGCTAGGCCCTGGGACTTGGGAGAGCTGAGTTCAGTTCCCTGCTCCGCAACAAACACAATGGGTGACCTTGGGCACGTTCCTTAATCTCTCTGTCTCCGTTCCCCACTTTGCGCCTCCCTCGGGTGCTGTGAGGATAAACGCTTGGAAGGTTTGAGGTGCTCAGATACTACAGGGGACATATCAATGCTGTCTGTTGACTTTGGGGGGCGGGGACAGAGCCCCTATTGCACAGCTCTGCCCCTTCCTTTCAGCCCCACTTTCCCCTGCATTGGTCCAACACCCCCTTGCCACTCAGACGTCCCTACCGCTGCTGCGCCTCCTTCAACACCCCTGCTGCTCCGAGCCCCCCTCCCCGTACTCCCCCGCTGCTCCGAGCCCCCCTCCCCGTACGCCCCCGCTGCTCCGAGCCCCTCTCTCTACACGTCCCCGCTGCTCCGAGCCCCTCTCCCCACACGTTCCCACTGCTGAGCTCTCCCTCCCCATATGTCCCCACAGCTCTAAATCTGGCCTAGCCTATGGGGAAGAGGCTCTTCGCAGAGCAGGCTTAGAGAGGTGTGATGTGGCCCATTCATCTCAATGAGGTGTTCTCAGCTGAAAGAGGAGGTCCCATGGAGATGATACAGCCTGACCCATCTGTTGCGGATTGTGGGGGAGTTAGGGCCCTGCACCCCTC